CATTATTCTCATCCTCATCACCATCACCCTTATCAGGGAAGGGTGTGTCATTTCCAGACTCGTCGGCATTGTTGTCATAATCACTCTCATCTTCCTAACTCTACGCATCTGCTAGATCCCAATTAAATATGTCATCTTCGGGCAATTATGTAAGGACAGGACCTTGAAGTTGCTCGTTTTCACTGCACAACCAATAAAATAATGAGTTTCTCAAATTCATCCAAACTTTACTAATAAACTTTATCACTTCACTTACAAATAATAATGTATTGATATCCCATAATGCACATTATCATGTTGGTGATGACTCCCGGATGGACCACCATGATCCAACACACCAAAACTAGGCATATTCCAACTGTCTGTTGGTTCATAACTTGTAAAATTCATATCTGGCTGGTACCCCCCATGTAGAATATATGAGTGTTAATACAAATTCAATACTTAAAAACAAACATCGTAACACAAAGAAAAATTGAAGTTTACCACTCGGCTTGTGGATTATGTAAACTTGGGGAGAGATTATGTCCTCGCTCCTACATCGCCCGTGGAGATAAGTTTAGATGAGGCCAAACTCTTTCACCCGGAACCTGTTCGACTAAAAATGCTCCAAAATAACCACCATATGATTAAGAGATATCCCTACTTTGTGAAACCTCATTATTGCGAACGTCTTCATCCTTGACGTACATTTCCAATATTTTTATCACAAGAAGTTCCTAGTGTTCATCCGGAGTCCTCAAAAAATCTGTTAGAGTTTCATCGTCTTCGATGTTAAACTCAGCATAACAAACAACCTCTTGCGGAGTAACATAATACGTATATCTTCCAGTTACTTTAATATTAACCGAACATTTGCTCACACTCATTTGTTTACATAACAACGATACCAATCTATTATACTCCATTATAAGTGCCAACTTAACATGACATTGTGGAGAACAACTATAGTGTACTCATTTATTCTCCGCCACAACCTCATCCCCTCAATATAATGCAACCCTAATTTTTTGCTCTTCGGACATTATGACAAAATGCAAAATAACTTAACGAACAAATATTTTGGAAGACTTGAAGGATCCTGAATGGATTTTTACCAAATTCTGAAGTCTCGTTAAATAAGAAAAAAACTTAGTCTGGGAGTATAATTATTTGATGTATAGCGTATGCATATTAGGCGTTATACCCATATGAATTATTAGTATGTCAGTTAAGTGCAGATGAATTATTGGTGAGGCCACAATTTATGTATAGCACGGTTATTCACCACGTTATACCTTAACGAATAAAACTGTCGTTAAGGTATAGCGCGGTGAATAACCACACTGTATATAAAATGGTGCCCAATTTATTTATAACCTATTTGTGTTGCTTGAGTCCAAAAGAACCACACTTTGGTTTCGGACTCCTCGTTTAACCCTATGACCATAATTTCATCTGTAAAAATTTTGGCAAAGAAAAATTCAGATTGAACCTTGAAGGTTCTAATGACCAAAAAACAAGAATAGTGGATTTCATAAGAATCCAAAGTTAAGTGCATTAAAAACATCTTTTTCCTTCTTCCAAGTTCCAAATACCTACCCATCCCTAGCTATCTACACTCGGCATCTATTTTTGACAATTACAATCGAAAAAAGATGGTAGGTGGCAGATCTGGAGCGGTAGTGAAGGTTGGCAGTTGTCGCCATTTTTCGGCATGGTCGATGATGAAGGTTTTTCGGTGGGTTTGTTTGTTCACTGCTCTTGGTATCTTGCTGGCTTGGGCTAATGGCAATAATACTTTAAAAAAGTTGCAGAAAAGAAGAGGGAACGGGGTCGCCAACCGGTCGGCTCGTGGGATTTTCGGTGATGGCGGCGGTTGACCAGTGAAAAGGGGAGAAAGGGAATGGGGCGGCTGCCATGGCTTTGTTTTATTATTTTTCTTCATTTATGGTCCAACAACTTTTGTCAATTTTTCGCTGGAGAGCGACGGGGTTCGGCATATGCTTTGGTTTTTCTTGTTTTTCATCTATGGTGAAAATTTTGAATAAAGAGAAGTAAAGATAAAAGGTAAGTGAGTCCACATAAATTAAGGTTACTTTTAAAAAAAATGAGGGGTGCACGTGCTTTGTTGTGAATAAAATAGTAAAAAGGTCAGTTGAGGTGTTTGTTTGATTTTTGAGGACAAATTAGTAGGCGTTTGGCCGTAAGTTTGGAAGTTTTTTTTTCAAATAAAATAATCAATTATGTGTTTGTTGATAGAATTGATTTATTTTTTGGGAGATTTGGAAAACCAAAACTTCAAATCCCAAATATAGCTTAAGACCTCTTTTTGGGCCAAATCATGATCATTTGAGACTTTTTAGCTGAAGAAAAAAAAAGGACATTTTTAACATGTCAAAATATTCCCCAAAATTCATGTTCAAACATATTTCAATTTCAAATCAAATTTCATCCAAATCATCCTTTTCAAAAAATATTTGGGAATTTATGTCCAAACGGGCCCTTAAAGGGTCTGTTTATATATTTCGCCTATGTAAAAACAACTTTGACATCTCCACAAATTTTCTTCCTATATATCTTAAAATTTAACTAAATTATTATTATTTTCATTACTGTAGGATGTCCATATGGGGCCCATTGCTAGTGAAAAGGACTGTCACAGTGGACATTCTATACTCATAATAGGATGGGGCATTAAGAATGGAATAAAGTATTTCTTGATTAAGAACACATGGGGTGATAAATTGGGGGGGGGGATAACGATTATGCTTAAATTAGAGGAGACTTAGTATACATATTGGTTTAGCCTGAAAGTGTTAGTATGTTGGACAATATTTTTTATGATTATAGCAGTAGCGAACCCACAAAGGAGAAGGTAAAAGGCGCTATTAGCAGTGGTGGAACCCAAAAGGAGAAGCGAAAAGGTGCTCCTAACAGTAGTGGATCCATTAAAGGGAAGGAGAAATCCCAATAGATTTGTTATTTGGAGTATGTTTATGTTTTTTGTTGTTAGAGAGAGAATTTTGAGTTATACCATTTGGGGCTCTATCACCGCTGTTTAACCAGGTTACAGTCTTTAGTTATTCCATAGGATGTTAGCATTATCAGTTATTCGAGTAAATTTTATGGGTGATCATTTGGCTTTGTGTTTATTGTCCAAAAATCACTTTTTATTTTGCTACGTAAAAGTCATCTAGCTTTATGTTCATTACCCAAAAGTCACTTTTTTTGTTACATAAAAGTGATTCAACTTTGTGTTCATTATTCAAAAGTCACTTTTATTTATTTTGTTATACAAAGTCATTTTACTTTACTCTAGTTATCACAAATGTCACCTTGACCGAATTTTATAATACTTTTACATAGAAATTCTGTTATGTCCTAAACATTATATAAATTCTCCCATTTATATAATACATTCTATATTATATACTATATAATATATTTTACCTAGGTATTTTACTTATAATTAAACTAACTTAATAATATTTTATTTATTATTTTTATAATATATTCGTACATTTAATTTTATTTTAACGTTAATTTTCAAAATATATTGGTAGCATTATAAAATTTATCAAAATATTATTGTGAACAAATCTCAAATCAACATTCTTAACCATGCCTATTGAAATATATTTAATGAAAATTATAAAATTAAAGCTCACAGATTTATCATCCAAGTCATATTCGTTAATCCAATAAATAAAATACTCATATTTTGCATACTGACACATCAGATTAATACTTTTAAATAAATAATATTAACAGATAAAGCTTTAAAATTTTAATATTAAAATCAAATATCTTTTAGAAAATTTTAAAAGTTTTATTAACTATAAAAAACTATCATTTGTTAATCAAATCTGTTTTTGTGATTTCAAAAATATTTTTTGTCATTATTTATAATTTAAAATATATTCATGTTTGAATATGATTAAAAAAATTCAATGCCATGGAAAAATTAAATTTACAAATATATTATAAAAATAATAAATAAAGTCATATAAAGTAATTTTTTAATCATAAGTAAAATACCTAGATAAAAATATGTTATAGAATATATAATATATAAGATATTACATAAATGAGAGGATTTATAATGTCAGGGGCATAATAGATTTTTCAGGTGAAAGTTTTATAAAACCTTGTCGAAGTAACTATTGTGATAACTAGAGCATATTGAAATAATTTTTGTATTATAAAAGAAAGAAAAATGACTTTTAGGTAATGAACACAAAGTTGAATGACTTTCTCGTAACATAAATAAAGTGACTTTTGGATAATGAACTCAAAGCTGAATGACCACCTATAAAATTTACTCCAGTTATTCAAAAACACCCTAATATGTCATTTTGCTACTACTATTATGTAACGACCCAACTTGTCGTTTTAAGAATTAATGTTTCATTCAGAGACTTAAGGTCCCGAGCAATTTCGTAATATGTGTTATGACTTGCGTGTGCAGTCGAATTTAGTTTTTCGGAAGGTTTGGAATTAAATTTAAAGAGCAATTCTTATTTTTGAAGCATAAATGAAAAGAGTTGACCGAAGTTTGACTTTTGAGCAAACGACTCCGGAATGAGATTTAATGGTGTCAATAGCTTTGTATGGTAATTTCGGACTTAGGAGTATGTCCGGATTTGGATTTGGAAGTCCATAGGACAATTCGACGCATTTTGGCGGAAGTTGAAAAATGGAAGATTTTTAGAAAGTTTGACCGGGAGTGGACTTTTTAATATAGGGGTCGGAGTTCGATTCCGAAAGTTGGAGTAGGTCCGTAATGTCAATTATGACTTGTGTGCAAAATTTGAGGTCAATCGGAATTGATTTGATAGGTTTCGGCATCGGGGGAGAAGAAAAACATCCAGCAGCAATGAAAGAATAGAAGTTGTGCAACAGTCCCTTTCCCCCAGAAAATTATAGTAGGTGTCACTATTTTTATAGCTATGTAAATCTCCTCTTTCTTCACCCGAACCCAGCTATAAAAAAAATTCACCTAAAACCATCATTGTCCAGCCCTCAAACCCAACAAAGAATAGCCCAAAAATGACCTCAAAATCCACCCTAAAAGTGCAGCAAAAACAATTGCGAACAGGTGCCAAAACGACCTCGAATCTGTCCAAAAACCAGCACCAAACTACTCAAAAATAGTCCCGAAAAATCAGATCTAGGACACCTCGAAATCCAGCTCTGTTCTACCATGAAAACGCTGCCAAAAGCTTCACAAAAAAATGACATAAACACTGCCCCAAAATCACTCCAAAAACGTAGCTAGAACAGCCCTGAAACTAAGCTCAAAGCTTACCCCAAATCAGCCCCCCAAAACAGTTGTGTTACTGCTGGAAAATCGGTCACAAAACAGCCTTGTAATACCTCCATTAGATCATCAAAATATCCTCAAACTCCTAGTCCAAAACAACCCCGAACAGTCCTAAATAATCAGTTATTTTGCCATTTTCGATTGGGATTTTGGAGCTCGGTTGTGGAGCGATTTTGGAGTAATTCTTTACGACTTCGACTTGGGTAAGTGTCCCATATCCGAAAATGATTATATTTCATAAATCCATGGTTATATTCCTCATTTATTTCGTATTTAAATGAATGAAATCAAAATTTTTGCAAAAATTTTCAAGAACAAAAATTTAAGATTTAAAGGTCGGGTTGTTATCGGAATTTGATAAAATTGGTATGGTTGAACTTGTATCAGAATAGGTGTTCGGATTTCGTAAAAATTCTGTCGGCTTCCAAGAGGCGGGTGCCATGTTGACTTTTGGTCACTTTTTAATGTGAATTTTTAAGTCGACGTTTTATTATTCAGAATTGTTTATGATAAATTTTAATTAAGGTATACAATTAATTTGGATAGATTTGAGCTGTACGGATGTCAATTCAAGCAAGAAGGCCATTTTGAAATATCAGCCTAACTTCAAAAGGGTAAGTATCTTGTCTAACCTTGTATGGGGGAATTTCCCCTTAGGTATTGAGTCTTATGTGAAAATTATGTGATTGAAAACCATGTACGCGAGGTGACGAATACGTACTTGGTTTATATGTACAATTTATACCGGTTAAAATTCGTAGACACCCTTATATATTAAATTAAAAAAATTATTGGAGCTTATTAAATCCTTTATTTGTCATGCCTTATTCCTTGTTTGTCGAGGTTGTTTTTATATAATAATTTGGTGTGATTGCCACTTTGACTTTTATGTGAAATTCCGTGGTTAGTTGGGTTGACATTTCTTGAAAATAATTTTATTATGGATTCCTTATCTGCAAATAACTATTTAAATAATTTTAAATTGAGGCATTAATATATTTATCAAAAATTTGGCTTAAAGAAGGTGTTATCCTATGCTGAGTTACTTTTTCATCCTTGTTGTTGTTTTTGAGGTTTCATATACGTTGTGTGGAGCCTTGGGCTATTTTCTGTGAAATTAATTGATTTTGTTGTATCTTTGGAGTTGGTTGTAGCCTATGGAAAAATTAAGATATGAATTATTGTATTGTGTTATCGTGATAATATTCCGTGTAAATTGTTGTGTGATTTGAGTTATTATTATGAGGACATAAGGGTGGCATTCCACTATTGATATTATGTAGGTATAAGGGTGGCATTTGACTGTGGTTATGTGTGTTGGGATATTGTCTGGGTGGAGTGATATGGGTGACTATTATACAGAGTGATAAGGGTGGCTATATGAGGGATAAGGATGTCTATTGAAATTGTCAGGGCGGAGGAATAAGGGTGGCTATTATTATGGAGTGATAAGGGTGGCTATAGGATAGATAAGGGTGGTTATTGTCAGGGATGATGCGTGATGATTTGGGATTATTGTGTTAGTGATTTTTATATTATGTTGTGATTTTTCTGGTGTTTATTTTTATCTCTTGTGCAACTTGTCTTGTTGTTTCGGTAAACTTGATAATAGTCTGATTCATGTTGAAATTGTGAGCATGTGGCTATTGTCGGGCGGTTTATATTATTGGCACGTGAGTTGTCCGTGCGGTTATGAAAGAAATATGGGCACGAGTGTCACGACCCAATTTTTCCTCCGTGTGACGTCGTGATGACACCTAGTCTCTACAATTAGGTAAGCCTAACATTTTGCGGAATATTGAAATAAAAATAAAAATTTAACCAATTATTCAAAAATACACAACAAATCCCAAAACTCGAAACATCGTGAATCACAAACTACAGAAGGAAAGATCTAGTGTCTCTATACATCAGAGTCTAACTAGAAAAAAATACAGAAGATAATGAATATGGGAAAGAGTAGAAGGGGACTTCGAGGTCTGCGGACGCGGCAGATATACCTTGAAGTCTCCAAAGCTGTCTTGGCTCACTGATAGTGCGGCTGATAAGGTGCACCTGGATCTGCACATGAAAAACAAGTGCAGAAAGTAACATTAGTACACCACAATTGGTACCCAGTAAGTGCCAAGCCTAACCTCGGTCGAGTAGTGATGAGGTCGGGTCAGGGCCCTACTGGTAAATATATAATAAAACAATATAGAGTGTAATACCGCAATAAAATAAAGGCTGAAATTTAACAACAATGAAATCATAGAAGGTAACAGCTCAGTACACATAAACACAACAGGGGATCTCCCGAGATACCGTCTCGTAGTCTCAAACGTAAATGAGCAGGGGGATCTCCCAGAATACCATTCCGTAGTCCCAAAGTAAATGTGCAGGGGGATCTCCCGGAATACCGTTCCGTAGTCCCAAAGTAAATGTGCAGGTGGATCTCCCCGAATACCGTTCCGTAGTCCCAAAGTAAATATGCAAGACAGGGGGATCTCCCGGAATACCGTTCCATAGTCTCAAAGTAAATATGCAGTACAGGGGGATCTCTCGGAATACCGTTCCGTAGTCGCAAAGTAAATATGCAGTACAAGGGGATCTTCCGGAATACTATTCCGTAGTCCCAAAGTAAATATTAAGCGCGAATGGTAGAAATACAACTACATCACAAAATTCTTACAATTTAGACTAAGTACCAGTCAGGGAAGAAACAGTAAATTCACTAAGCATGCTGCACATAATTCACATAAACAATTAAGACACATAGACATGTTGCATTAGACTAAACATGATAGCTACAAATATTGGAATAACTCAATTAAGAATGAGAATAGATTAGTACTCATTAAAATGGTATAACTCAAAATAACAGGAAAAAATATTGCTGCTCGATAAGAAAATCGAGTTTTACCACAACTAGCCCGTGTACATACTCGTCACCTCACGTACACGGTGCTCACATAACACAATAGTTCCAAATCTTAAGGGAATTTCCCCCACACAAAGTTAGGCAAGCCACTTACCTCGAATCAAGCTCAATCAATTGGTCACAATGTCTTTCCTACGAATATCCGGCTCTGAAAGGCCCAAATCTAGCCAAAAGTAATTACATATCATAAATACAACGATAATAGACTCATCTAATAAATGAAATCAACACTTTAACAAAAATCCTGAAATTAACTCAAAAATTGCTTGTGGGGTCCACGTCTCGGAATCGGGTAAAAGTTACAAAATAGGAACACTCATTCCACCACGTATCTAACCATACCAAAATTACTAAATTCCGATACCAAATGGTCCTCCAAATCCACAAATCAAACTTCCAAATCCCTAGCCTCCAACTTCCAATTTTTCACCTTAAATACACACTAACTAGGTGGGAAAATATATGGCAAAGCAAGATTATTGATAAAAAATAAGCACTAGAGACTTACCTCAAGAAATGCCTCAAAAATGCTCTCAAAAATCGCCCTAAACCGAGTTTACAAAGTAAAAAATGACAAAAATCACGAAGCCCTTTGGTTTTAACTACTACCCAGGTATTTCCGCACCTGCGGAACCTGGGCTCGCACCTGCGGGTGCGCTTGTGCGGAAATTGTGTGCATCTACACAATTCACTTGCCCCCTCTTCTTTCGCACCTGCGATGAAAAGGCCGCATCTGCGCGTGCGCGCCTGCGGAATTCCCTTCTGCTTCTGCGGACCTTGTGCACCTACGAAGACCCCTAACGCATTTGCGGGCATCGCAGATGCGGAAAACACCTCGCACCTGCGAACCCTAGCACTCCTCTATTTTACCGCTTCTGTGCCAATTTGTTCGCACCTGCGGGCAGCCTTGCGCAGGTGCGATTACAGCAGAACCAGCAAAAGCACCAGATTTTCCTAAGTCTAATTTCAATACGTTAAACATTCGAAACACACCCGAGGCCCCCCGGGACCTCAACCAAACCTACCAATCAATCCTATAATACTATATGACCTAAGTCGAGCTTTTAAATCATATCAAACAATGCTAAAATAATGAATCACCCTCTGATTCAAACTTAAAGAACTTGAAACTTCAAAATTCTACAACTGATGCCGAAACCTATCAAATCACGTTCGATTGACCTCAAATTTTGTGCACAAGTCATAATCAACATTACGGACCTACTCCAACTTTCGGAATTGGAAAACAACCCCGATATCAAAAATTCCACTACCGGCTCAAAACTCCAAAAATTTGACTTTCGCGATTTCAAGCCTAAATGAGCTACGGACCTCCAAAACATAATCCGGACACGTCCCTAAACCAAAAATCACCTAACGCAGCTAACGGAACCGACAAAATTTCATTTCGAAGTCATCTTCACACAGTTTCGACTATGGTCCAAATCCTAAGGCTTAAGCTCTCATTTAGGGACTAAGTATCCCAAATCACTCCGAAACTCAAAATCAATCATCCCGGCAAGTCACAATAGAAACAATAGATATGAGGAAAGTAGTTAATAGGGATTCGGGGCTCTAACTCTCGAAACGACCGGCCGGGTCGTTACAACGAGGTATCGGGAAAATATGATAATTTTATTATTGGCACGTGAGTTGTCCGTGCGGTTATAAAAGAAATATGGGCACGAGGTGCCGGGAAAATATGATAATTTTATTATTGGCACGTGAGTTGTCCGTACGGTTGTGACAAAAATATGGGCACGAGGTGCCATGGAGATATGAAAGTGGGCTGAGACCCATAATTTTTATGATTATGAAATGAGGTGTTACATGGTGACTTTTATTTGAAAGAATTATATTCGAAAGATTTTTCTTGAAAGGAATTATATTTGAAAGATATTTATTTGAAAGAATTATATTCGAAAGATTTTTCTTGAAAGGAATTATATTTGAAAGATATTTATTTGAAAGAATTATATTCGAAAGATTTTTCTTGAAAGGAATTATATTTGAAAGATATTTATTTGAAAGAATTATAATTGAAATAATTATATTCATAAGATATTTATTTGAAGGAAGTATATTCGAGATATATTTAATTGAAAGGATTATATTCTAAAGATTTTTATTCGAAAAGAGGTATATTTTGAAGGACTGGATTAATTGGTTATGCTTGTGTTCATTATTCGTTTGAGCAATATTTATGATGTTCTTGTTGCCTTGTTGTTTATATCACTAGTTGATTATTGTTGCTATCATTGCTATTTGTCTTTCTATTATTTTTGTATGCTATATTGCACAGGTTATTTGACTAGTGAGTGTCTTGATTGTACCTCATCACTACTCCACCGAGGTTAGTCTTGATACTTACTGGGTACTGACTGTGGTGTACTCATACTACTCTTCTGCACATTTTTGTACAGAGCCATACATTGGAGATATCGGATTCGGACAAAGATAAGAGTATGATCACACGGATTCAAGGTAAGGTTGTTGGTCATCGCAGTCCCTTGGAGTCTTTCCATTTTATTGTACTATCAACTCTTATTCGAACAGTATTGTATATTCTCTCCTTGAGATCACTGCATTTATTCAGTTAGAGTTCGTGACTCAGTATTACCAGTCTTGGGAGGTTGTTATATTTGAATATTTCCGCTATTGGTTTTGACACCTGTATTGAATTAAAAAAAATGGCTAGAAATATAATTGTAATCGGCTTACCTAGTCTTAGAGACTTGGTGTCATCACGACGCCTGTGGTGGGATTATGGGTCGTGACAAGCTGTATCAGAGCCCTAGGTTCATAGGTTCTACGAGTCACGAACGAGTTTAGTAGAGTCTTGCGGATCGGTACGGAGACGTCTGTACTTATCTTCTAAAGCCTGCAAAACTGTTAGAAAATTTCCACTTCTTTCATTCTTGTCGCGCGAAATTTTTTAATTTTGGAGTTTGAGCCTTTGTATCTCTATTCTCTCACATATAGTGAGGACACGTGCTACCGGGTCAGTTGAGAAGACACCCGCGCATTCTTCTAGGATCGCAAGAGCCCGGGGCTGAGGTAGAGGCCGAGGAAGGGCACGTGCCGCATCTAGAGCACCTGTCAGAGCAGCAGTCGAGGAGCCGTCACTAGCTCCGGTTGGGGGACAAGCACGAGAGACACCTGTTGTTACCCCCGAACTTCATAAGACTTTAGCACAGTTCCTGAACATATTTGGTATATTGACTCATGCGTGATTGATTTCCATTTCACCAAATATTTCACAAATTGGAGAGGAGTTCAGACTCCTACCGCCCATACTCCAGAGCATCAGGTTCATATTGGTCAGGTTCTGGGTATAATACCAGTATAACCTGTTATTCCTGTTCAGCCTGAGGTCAGGCCAGAGGCATCAGAAGAAAGACAAAAGAGACTTGAAAGGTTTAAGAGGTATAATCCATATACTTTTAGTGGCACAGCTACTGATGATGCCCAGGGATTTCTAGAAAAATGTCACCGTATTCTCCACACCATGGGTATTGTGGAAGTGAGCGGAGTTGCCTTTACTACCTTTGAGCTATCAGGAGCAGCGTATTAATGGTGGCAAGCTTATGAAGAGGCAGACCAGCCGATGCAACACCACCAACTTGGGCTTAATTTTTGAAAATATTTTTGATAAAGTTTGTTCTCCAGACTCTCCGGGATGCATGGCACACAGAGTTTGAACGGTTGAGTCAGGGCACCATGACGGTGTCAGAATATGTTATCAGGTTCAATGAGTTAGTGTAACGACCCGGCCGATCGTTTTGAGTATTACAATTTCGTTCCCCCATTTACTGCTCAAATTATTCTTTACAATTTTTATGTGACTCGTCGGGGTGATTGGTTCGGGTCTGATGAGGTTTTGGAATGAATTGAAACATTTAGTTCCAAGGTTCAAAGTTTAAGTTAAAATAGTGATCGGATGTTGACTTATATGTAAATGACTCCGGAATAGAATTTTGATGATTCCAATAGCTCCATATTGTGATTTTGGACTTAGGAGCGTGTTCGGAAAATTATTTGAAAGTCTATAGCTAAATTAGACTTGAAATGGCTAAAATAGAAATTTAAGTTTGGAAGTTTGACCGGGGAGTTGACTTTTTTATATCGGGGTCGAAATCCGATTCTGAAAATTTGAATAGGTCCGTTATATTATTTATGACTTGTGTGCAAAATTTTAGGTCAATCGGACTTGATTTAATAGGTTTCGATATCGAATGTAGAAGTTAGAATTTCTAAGTTTCATTAAGCTTGAATTAGGGTATGATTCGTGATTTTAGCATTGTTTTATGTGATTAGAGGTTTCAACTAAGTTCGTATGATGTTTTAGGACTTGTTGGTGTATTTGGTTGAGGTCCCGAGGGCCTCGGGTGAGTTTCGGATGGTTAATGGATCAGTTTTGGACTTGGCAATCCAACTGAAGAATGCTGGTTTTCTATCATTGGTTTCCTTATACGCGATCACATGAGAATGTCCGCGATCGCATAGGCTTGTTTGAGGCACTGATGATTTTGTTCTTCGCAATTGCGTGAAGAGGGCCGCGATCGCGTAGCTGTGGGAGTTTGTTATCCGTGAACGCGTGAAGAAGGTCGCGTTCGCGTAGAGTAAGTGGAGCAGAAATAAATATCACACATTTTGTGCTTCGCGATCGCGTGGAGGAGTCCACGATCGCGTAGGCCTATGAGTTTGAGCTTCGTGATCGCGTGGAAAAGTCCGCGATCGCGTAGAGCAAATGTCTAGACAGAGAGTTTAAGTTCTGAAAATGGGACTTCGTCCCATTTTCTATTTTTTTACCAAATTGGAGCTCGGGAAGAGGCGATTTTCGGGAGATTTTCAAGGAAAACAACGAGGTAAGTGTTCTTAACTAAATATTGGTCAAATTACCTGAATCCATGGTTGTTTTTAACATTTAATTGGTGAATTAAGTTGGAAGATTTAAAAAACCCTCTTGGTTTAATTTGAAAATTTGAGGGTCGAGTTGATGTCGGATTTTAGTAAAAATTGTATGATTGGACTCGTGGTTGAATGGGCGTTCCTATTTTGTAACTTTTGTTGGGTTCCGAGACATTTATGGTTAAATTTCGGATTTTGCTAGAAAATTTGTATTTTCTTATGGAATTTATTCCTATAATTTTATTGATTGAATCGAATTAATTATGGTTAGATTCGAGTCGATCGGAGTCGGAAAATCGAGGAAAAGGCATACTACTTGACTAATTGAGCACAGTTGGAGTTAAGTGACTTGTCTAACCTTGTGTGGGGAAAATTTCCCCTAGGATTGGTATTAATGTGATAATTGTAATGTGTTGAGAGTCGTGTACACGAAGTGACAAGTGTGTACACGGGTTAAATGTGGAAGATTATGTCTTTAAATTGTGTAGATCACCGCAGCATATTAATTAAATTATTTTATCTCGTTATATTCTTCATCATTTATCTAATTTTTATACGTTAAATTTGCTTGACCTTTTCCTGCTAATTGTTTTACCTGTTTAGTTGAAACTTGGTTTCCTTTATTCTGTGCATTATTTGAAGGTTGATTTTTTTTAAATTAAATATTATTAATATGAAATATTTGACATTTTTTTAAAATTTGATATTGAAGCACCGTAATAAAGATTTTGAAATATTATTTTCCCGAATTATTTATTCCCGAATATTTTGTGAGATTTTGTACTCATTGTGATTGAGTCGTGAGCTCCCTATTGTGGAAAATATTGTTGTTGTTGATTTATTTTGGCAAATTGAAATATTTGAGCACTTGAGGTACAAATTGTGATATTGGTACGCATGCGGTGGTATAAGGTGTGGGTGTTGAAACGCATGCGGTGAGATAAGGGTGGCTTGATAGACGTGGCTAGTAGGGGAACTACTAGAAGTCATGCGGTGTGATAAGGGTGGCTAAAACGCGGGATGCTATTTCGGGAAAAATATTTTTTTTATTTAAAATTAAATATAAAGGCTCCCGAGATGATATAAGGAAATGAGATATTGTGAATTTATTTATGATTTGGGACTACGAGGCGGTACCCCGGGAGTGCCCTTGTTGATATTTCTTTATGGCTGTATTTCCCTTTGGTTATTTTGGTGATTTCCTTAAAGTTGTAAATTTATGTTTTCCTTCGGCGAGGTGTTATTTGCCCTTATTCTGTGTAGTTAAATTGTGACATACTACTTACTTGATTCATTCCCATGGTCATTATTATTATGATATTGTTGAACTTTTCGCCCTGCCTTTTATTATTTCCAGTAAGGCCCTGACCTGACCTCGTCACTACTCTACCGAGGTTAGGCTTGGCACTTACTGGTACCGCTATGGTGTACTCATACTACGCTTCTGCACATCTTTTTGTGCAGATCCAGGTACTTCCTATTAGATCAGGCATTCGTGAACTAGCCGTACGCGGAGACTTCAAGGTATATCTGCTAGCGTCCGCAGACCTCGGAGTCCCCTTCTATCCTTATTGTGTTGCTTTCCTTATTTCACTTTAGACTCTAATGTATAGAGACACTTAGAATAAACTCTTAGAAACTTGTGACTTATTTCTACCGGGTTTTGGGAGTTGTGACTATTTGAATCGCGTTTTGATTTATTTTATATGTTGAGATTTGAGTTTCAGTTTTGTATTTCGCATAATTGATAGGCTTACCTAGTATTAGAGACTAGGTGCCATCACGACATCATACGGAGGGAAATTAGGGTCGTGACAAGTTGGTATCCGAACTCTAGGTTCATAGGTGTTATGAGTCACAAGCAGGTTTTTGTAGAGTCTCACAGATCTGTACTAAGACGTCTGTACTTATCTTCGGGAGGCTATGAAACTGTTAGAAAATGTTCACTTCTTTGATTCCTTATCGTGCGCATTTTTTAACTTCGAAATTCTAAATTATTTTCTTCTTATTCTCTCACAGATGGTGAGGACACGTACAACTAGATCCAATGATCAGACACCTGCATCCCCTATTGGAGCCGCAAGAGGCCGGGGCAGAGGCCGAGGAAGACCACGTGGTGCAGCCAGAGCACCTGCACGATCTACTGCAGAGGAACCACCAGTAGCTCCAGTTGGAGAGCAGGCACCTGAAACGCATGTTACTACCCCTGTACTTTAGAAGACTCTTGCCCAGTTTTTGAGCATGTTTGGCACTTTAGCTCAGACAGGGTTGATTCAACTTGCTCCTACCACATCTCAGGCCCGGGTAGGAGCACAGACTCCCACCGCCCGTACCCAGAGCCACGAGCCTAGGTTGACCATGCCCCGGAGGTTATAGCAGTGCAACAGTTGTCCCAATTCGACCCGAGGTTAGGGCAGCAGTTTTAGAGGGGGAGCAGCTCAGGCTCGAGAGGTACAAGAAGTACCACCCTCCCACATTCACTGGTTTAGCATCAGAGGATGCTAAGGGTTTTCTTGAGAAATGTCACTGTATCCTCCGTACTATGGGTGTTGTGGATTCGAGTGGGGTTTCTT